ATATATATATATATATATATGCACTGCAACAATAACACACTACTTCAACACTGCAACAATAACACACTACTTCAACACTGCAACAATAACACACTACTTCCTGGGATCGTACTAAGAACCTAATCCAACAAGTACACGAACACGATACCACAACAACACTCAACCCCTAAACAATAGAATCGTACCAAAGAAACTATTGGCGTTCTCCTCCCGTATTCGCTTCCGCTGGGCCTTGATGTATTGCTCTGGTTGTGACTCGAGTTGGCCCACAAGTTTAGCTAGTTCATGGTACGTTACCACCTTAGCTTGCTGTGTGAACGAGGATGCGTACATGGTGATGATTATTAGTGACACACTCGTGCAGCGGGTGTAGGCGAGGACGGAGGCCTTGCAGCCGGTTATTAGAAGAAGTGTTGGGATAGGAACACAGTACTGGTAACTAGCACTACACGGCTACGTAGTGAGTGGGAACGGACGGCAGCTCTATAGCTTGATACACGTGGTAGATATAAGCCAAGAGGAGATCGCCCATATAGGGGGTGCTACGGATATATGGTAGTAGAACGGTAAAACGGTTGATATAGTGGTAGAACGTTTGCTATGGTAGTAGATCGGTTGTTTTGGCAGCAGAATGGTTGTTATGGTAGTAGAACGGTTGTTATGATAGTAGAACGGCAGTTATTGTAGTACAACGGTTGCTATGGTAGTAGAATGGTTGTTTTGTTAGTAGAACGATTGCATAGTGAACGTTTCTTATGGTAGCAGAACAGTCGTTATGGTGGTAGAACGGTTGCTATGGTAGTAGAACAGTCGTTGAGGTAGTGGGACGGTTGCTATGGTAGTAGAACAGTCGTTATGGTAGTAGAACGGTTGCCATGATAGTAAAACAGTCGTTATGGTAATAGGAGGGTTGCCAGTATACCATACAGCCTTTCTGGCGTGCTGTATATATCAGATAGCTTGCTAATATAAACTCAGGGATGATAGGTGTGTTATGTGCATAAGGAACAGGAAAAAGTGAGAGGCTCGGTGTTCCCCGTGAGCTGGCCAATAGTCATGTCCCATCCATATTTGCTCCGCTCAGGTTGGACATTTTAACTACGATTTAGTACAACCCATTCAGTAGCGTCGCTAACCACAACAAACGTCATGTACAATGACGCCAATAAAGCCCTTCCAGCGCAGATGTATTTGTACTTCAGAGTGGGTACAAGATTATATAGCGCTATTCCCAAGTACGGAATGATACCCCACATAAAGTGGTGTTGTAAACTACCTTAATCGTCATCATGTACAGCGGCGCTAATAAACCCGCATCGGGCCAAACGCCTTTGTGCCTTAAAGTAGGTACAAGGTCATATAGCGCTACACTCACTCACAGAACAGTATGCGATGCGTAAATGCAGCACATCGAAAGGAATAAAAATACATCTCTCACTCAAGATATATATATCTTTAGACTGTGAGAAATATATATAATTAAAAGATAGAAACGCATACCAAACTCGTATACCCCTGTGTGTAGACTCTGTGTGTAGAAGATGAATAAATATATAATAGAAAGCCGATTTCTATGCATACCTCCCTTAGCCTCGTACTATGTACAATATATACATGCATAATAGGACATATCTAAATGTACTTACATCAACACAAACTACTACTCATGCGTGTGCCTGTCATACCTCCAGGTACTCGCTCTCATTCAACCAAGGCCCGCAATACCCCCCAGGCCTGGTGATATGTTCTCTTTGGTCAGACATTTTGGTATCAGCACAGATCTGCTCTGATTTGTATGAACACTCTCAACACCTGAAGCTATACGGCGATATTCATCTCATCGCTATCCTTACAGTATGTCTGTGGACGGTTCTGTTGCCGCAGTATGTATATATCGTTGGTGTCACAGTGTGCATGTACGTACATACGTTGTCACGGTATGTATGTATGGATGTATGTATGTATGTATGTATGTATTTGTTTATATGCGTTGGCGTTGTAGTAGTATGTATGTATGTATGTATGTATACGTACATACGTTGCCGTTATCGTAGTATGTATGTAAATATGTGTCTACTGTGAACTTGTGAAGTCTGTGACTGTCTACGATAGACCGCCGCTGCATCCGAGTGCATAGCCTCCTGAAAATAGAACATTTGTGGCTTTGGTCATCGGAACAAATACAATCAGTTCAACAAGTTGGCGCCCAGTTTATTATCCAATCAAGTTTCTTCCTGGGGTTTTCTACTTCTAGGGTTTACTTAAATTACTTCTGTCTCAGTTACCACTTACCATCAGGAACTTATTACCACTGTTACCGGTTACTACTCTCTGGGGCATATACAAATACGTACTATTTACATATGATATGTATTATGAATTTGTGATATCACCTTGCAGCTGCCAAAAGCTGCCATGGTACCACCTGGAGCGAGCCGTAAACGTCTTGAATTTTCCAACAAAAAAGACACAATTCAAAGAATGTCCAATAAACATCAGACAAAAACTTGCGATGAACACGATAAATTCTGACAGAATCTATGATTCAAGATGGCAGATATCATTGCTCGATCTCAGTTAATTGTACAGATACCATACAAAAACAGTTTACCATTTCATCGCAATAGCGTAGTGCGAACGGATGTTAACAACTTATATGGATATGATCAATTAAGTAGGCTTATGCGTTAGAATATATTTATAGTGATTTTGTTTACACAGTTATTAGCTCGACAGGATTGATATTGCGAAAGTATTTACTGATACTTCCGTTACAAAACCAAATATTGATCGAGTCAGTGTGTTCTTCATAACAGAGTAATACTTTTTTACTCCTATTTGAATTACATTGCGAGCAAGTATTGCCTTACATAGTGTTGCAGTATATATACAAGCGCTCTACTAAACAAAATTGGAAGTTTGGTGAGGTAATCCAATACGTTCTCACAACTGTAATCGCTGGTAGATCTGCCACACCCTGATACCAATTAGCACTATGAATCACGACGACTTTTATAATCTGTGCCGCATGTATGTCTCATCGTTTAGTGTAGTACATATACAAATTGACAGCTCAGGGATCAAAATTGTCACAACTAAGTGTAGAAAGTACGCAATATTCAATAAAATCTCGCAAATCGACTGAATATACCCAGAAGTACCTTTTAATGATAGTCCAGTTCACTCTTGTGGACTCAAGTCTAAATAGTCGTGCAAATTTGCGAAAATCGCGACTTCAGCGGAGGATTACAGAAACCCTTTGCATTATGAAAATATCCCCCACCGTATGAAGTATTATATTTGGGAGCTCTTTGGACCTGCGGTGGGAAATTTCGAAATTTCAACTCTATCGTCAGTTATTTGGTTGTGAAAACTGGGATTTCGCGGGATTTTGCGGTAAATCGCGAAACTTCAGTGCCAAATAGCTGCTGATAGAGTTAGAATTTCGAAATTCTCCACCGTAGGTCCATAGAGCACCCCAATATGGTACTCCACACGGTCGGGATTTTCCTAACCTGCAGATAGTCCCTATATTCTTCCGCTGCAGTTCGCGATAATTTGCGAGATTTCGCGACTTTCGCGACTTTCGCTACTTTTGCGAGTTTTGACGAGTATACATGAGATGCCACTACTACACTCGAGTTAACAATACACAACTGGACTATTTTTCATTAGTGAATACTTCTGGGTATATTTAGTCGGTTTTCGAGGTTTACTTGAATTTTGTCCATTTTTTTCAGATACTTGTGATATTTTTATGATCTATGTGATGTCAAATTGTATTTTCGTGTCATATGAACGGTGAGGTATACATAAGGCATTCACTTTACAAATTGCTAAAGTGATTTTCAAGTTCCAGTTGGTATCATGAAAGATCCCGAACCAATAGCATGGTTGTGAAAATGTATTAAACCTCGCGAGCGCTTATCTGGAATACTGCAACACTACGCTAGGTTATTATACTTACTCGCACCGTAAATCAGATATGCTAATAACAATAGACATTGTTCTGTGTATAAAATAGATACTGACGTTGAGAATTTGCCGTTGTATTAAAGTTATTATTTGGTGTATATTTATCTCGGTGTTACCAAGTCGTGTGATAATCAACTCAAGCTTAACCGTATATCCCTATAAGCTATAATATGGTAAGGTATAAGCATGCATAGAACCCATATAGGTGACTAGCATTTATTCCGCGTTCGCAAAAGGTATCTATCACCTTTATATATGCCATCTGGGGGCATGATAATCACTGTCAGATTTCAACGTGTTTAAAAGGTTTGTCCGATAATTAGACATTCTTCGAACGTAAAATTGTGATTTTCCAAAATTTTACAAAGTTTACTGCTCGCTCCTGGTGGCTGGTTGGGGCTGAGACCTGAGTCCTGAGACTCCTGACCGGCCGAGGACCCGAGGGCGGATGGGTATACTGAAGAAAAATAGAACGTTGATAATGTTTATTTTCATGTCGTATAAACTTTTTAACGGGTTCGACGCTTTAATATATGACCAACAAACCCTAAAAAATGCACTTTGACTACGCACCTAAAAATCACGAAATGGGCTATAGCGCTTGTTTCGACCAATCATAAATAGAATTGATGATGCATTTCCAACTTCCAATTGACCGCACATTTTGTCATTTTCCCATCAACTTTTATTATAATTACCAAACAGAGTGGCGTTTACGTACAGTTTACACAAACACACAAATTGCGGCAAACCTGCAGGCTGCAGCCTACAGGCTACACAGTACACACAAGAGTACAATACTATTCCACACAATTATAGCTATGAATGTCTGAAGCTCACAGTTGTTAGTGACGAACAAACATCATGATGCCAACGTACGAGGAAGCAAGAAAAACTAAATGCCCAATAGATAACCTGACCACCACACCGATTATTGGCGGGTCAAATTCGGCGCGAACATATGGGACAAATCTGTGGACCTAGAAATAGCACCTCCATGAAAATTCACAGGACCACATATGTAATAAAAATTGAACTTTAACGCTTTTATCGCCACGGTATAAACGGTTTAACGGGAAACGGCTTGAGCTTAGCCGGGCCGGCGGGCGGGCCAGGCACCCGGGCGGCGGGCCGAAGGTTCAGGGCTTGGGAGTCCTAAACACAACGTACGATTTTGACCAGTCAGTTTCATTATCTATTTTTAGAAAGCTCTCCACTGATATCCCTTGTCCACAATGTCCAGTCACCACTCACCAGTGTTCAGCAGAGAGTAGTCAGGATGTACACAACAGGGTACACAACGGAGGTTCAACCAGTAATATTATGTACTTTATATTTTCAGAATATACCTGTCATGCTTTTTTGACATTTTTTCAACACTTTTTTAGCCTTAGACCATCTAGTACAGTGGACGAGTCCCGACAGGTCTAATGTTCTACAGATTGGTCAGAGGACGTTGCATGAAGAATAGAGCCATGGCCCGATAAACTGGCTCGCATGGTATGTGTTATTGCTGTTTATTTACCATGTTGGTTTCTTTGTGACTATAACCTGATACTATGTACCGAGGGAGGCATATATAAGATTCTGAGATATATGTATCGTAGTATTCTTCCGCATACTTTGCCTAAGGACTATTTCAGAATCATTAGAATGTTTAGCACAAAAGCGCTATCGGCAGCACGAGCTGTCTCACCACACGCCCATGCAACAAGTACAACACAATGTCTTCGCATGTTTTCCACATCCAACATAGTTAACCAGAAGGTAGGTTTCGTAGGTCTGGGTAATATGGGCAGACATATGGCAAATAACCTAATCAAAGCGGGGCATGAAGTAACTGTGTATGACATCAACACAACTGCCGCGGCCAGTCTAGCAGAGAAGGGCGCTAAGGTTGCTAACTCGCCTGGCGAGGTTGCATCTCAGGTAAGTGCTGAATTATTTGCTTCTAAAGATTCGCATGTATCAGGTGGCCCTGAATACATACAGAGAGACATTAAGTATAAGTTGCGTTGGCATGTCTATTGGCGCACAATACGCTAGTCAATTGTTCCTATATTTATATATATATGTATATATATATATATATATATATATATATATATATATATATATATATATATATATATAATAATATAATATATATATATATATTATATATATATA